CCCGTCGGGGCCTCCACAGTAAAATGGAGGAAGCAGCGAACCCCGTCGGGGCTCCTGACAGTAAAATGGAGGAGGGTGAAGCCCGTCGGGGCCTCCACAGTAAAATGGAGGAGGCGGTGAACCTTTCCAAGGCCTCTACAGACTGTAAAATGGAGGTGGCACCGAACCCCGTCCAGGCATTAACAGTAAAATGGAGGTGACAGCGAACTTCATTGAGGCCTCTGATAGTAAAATGGAGGTGACATCGAACCTTGTCAAGGCCTCAACAGACACTAAAATGGAGGTACCTGCAAACCTCGTCAAGGCACTGACAGTAAAATGGAGGTGTTGACCTTGCTGAGTACTGGGCCTTGAGCAGGTTGAAGCCTAGGTGGAAGGAAGGAAAGCTTAGTAGATCGGGGGTCTCCACCGCTGTTACAGAGATGCCAACTAAGAGCAAAGCGGGAGCCTGTAGGGGAGGGGAGGGGTCACAGTGGAGGCTCTGAGTTATGACTGGAGGCATGTTGTTGTCTAAAGCCTGATACATTGAGGGACAGGGACTTTACTTTCCCTGAGGCCAGGCCTGCATCCTTCAGAACTTTACTTTCATTTCGGTATAGATTGTATGGACATTGCTTTTCCAAGGACCAGACTGAATTTTATATATATATATATATATTTGTACTTATGCATATGTGTCTGTAGAGAGGACATCAGGTTCGCTGGAGTTTGAGTTCCAGATGGTTGTGACATTGGTAGCTAGGTGTTGGCCACTGGGTTTGGGGAACTGAATTCCTGCGTTAAAAAAACAAAAAACAAAAACAAACAAACAAAAAAACCCAAAACACTACAACCACCTCCAAAAACACTGGCTAAGTGCTGGTAACTGCTGAGCTGTTTGTTGAGCCCCTTCCCCCTTTTTTGTGTCTGTGTGCTTTTATAAGACATGATATTGCTCTGTGTCTGGACATGGCCTCCTAATATTCCTGCTTCAACCATCTGAGTACTGGAATTCTAAGAATGTATAAGTACACCAATCTTTTTATTTGTTTGTTCACTTGGTTTTTTTGTTGGTTTGCTTGAATATTTTTGAGACAGGGTCTCACTGTAAGCCAAAATGACCAGAACCTCCCTATGTGCCTTGGGCTAGACTTGAGCTAGGTGTTTTCAGCCTCCAGAATGGAATGCTCTGATTAAAGAAGAGACCTGAGTCACCATGTCTGGGTCTTTTTTTTTTCTGGGCATTTTTGACCATTGAGCCCAAGCCTTATTGCATGGTAAACATACCCTACACCATCAAACTACACCACCCGGCATGCCAAGTTTAGCTTTGCTATCAACAGATTTGGGGTATGCCTGTGATCTACGGTGATAGCATCCATGGATTCATTTTTCATCAGATACTGCTTTAAAGATCTGTTCAAAAATTTTAGGAATCTGAGAGTGATGGGACCAAAAATTAGATACCCCAGTTGTTAAGTACAAATAAACTTGGAGTCAGGGTTAAGCCCATCATTATTTTTTTTTCTTTTTAAGATTTTAATTTTCACCATGTCATGGTGGCTCTAGTGCATGCCTTTAATTCCAGGTCTAGGGAGGCAGAGGCAGGCAGATCTCTCTGAGTTCCATGCCAGCCTGATCTACAAAGGGAGTTCCAGGACAGACAGGACTGTCATACAGAGAAACCCTGTCTCAAAAAACATAAAATGATTTTAATTTTCAACTATGCATATAGGTTTGGATGTGAGTGCAAGTATTGGCATATGAGCTCAGTTGCTTGGGGAGAAGAGAGGTATTAGACCATCCTAGAACTGGTGTTGCAGGAAGTTGTGAACCACCTGATGTAAGTGTTGGTAAACAAGCTTAAGTCCTCTGTAAGAACAATATGCACTCTTAACTACCTAGTCCTGTCTCCAACCATCATTTTTTTAATTCAGAAATTAGAAATTGTTAACTTCTGATTTAATAATACATGGAAACTGACAACTTTTTATTCAACTAATTTCATTCTTATTAGATATTTTACATTTTATTGTTTAAGTTCATTGTTTTAGATTCAGGTGAGAGATCTGTTTTTCTGTTTTGAATGTCAAAACATTAAATTATGTTTCTCCCTGAAAAAAAGCAGTCTGAGAAATCTGGGACGCCACCAATGGAAAACTTCAAGCACATAGCAATCTATCACTATGATATTGATAATGAAAAAGAGGAAGTAGTGGAAGTGGTAGAAAAAGTAGATGATGGACTGGACCATTCACCAGACTCTCCTCCAACAGGTACAATATACCCAGTTCCGAGTTTGATGGTATCCCATAGTTCAATTTCTTTGTGTGTGTTGGGAAAGGGGTTTGTCAGAGAACAATTTCAGGAGTTGGGTCTCTCCTCCCACCATGGGTGTCTCAGGGATGAGTCATGTGGCTTTCAGGCTTGGCAGTAAGCTCTGCATCCTTACCTCCTGAGTTATCTTGCCTGCGCAGTTCATTTGACTTTTACATTGCCACCTGAAATAGAATAAAAGGTTAGTATTTTCTTACACTTTGTTTACTCTTAATATTTACAAGTCTGTATCAAAATACTGAAAATACATATAATATTTCACCTGTACAGTTTATATACATCAGTAAATTGTTGGGGATGCTGTGAATGTGTTACTCTGATTGATTGATAAATAAAATGCTGATTGGCCAGTAGCCTGGCAGGAAGTATAGGCAGAACAAGCAGAGAAGAGAATGCTGGGAACAGGAAGGCTGACGGAGGAGACGCTGCCAGCCACTGCCACCATGAAAAGTGAGATGTAAGATACCCAAAAGCCACAAGCCACATGGCAATGTATATGTTTATAGAAATGGGTTAATTTAAGATATAAGAACTAGACATCAAGAAGTCTGAACCATTAGGCCAAACAGTTTAAATAATATAAGTGTCTGTGTGTTTATTTGAGTCTGAGTGGCTGCCGGCCAGGGTGAGACACAGAAAAACTTCAGTTACAATAAATTGTAAATAATTTATAGTGATATTAACCTAGAAGGGCTTGAAAAACTATTCTTATAAAATTATAGTAATTAACAATTTTATTTCATCTGTCCTTCAGAATAATATTGCATTTATACTTCTGCTTTAATATATGTTGAAAATGCCTAAGAACTATAAATAAAATTACTATTTCATTAAAATTAACTAAAATAGCATATTTAATTTTTCAGTTTTGTTTTCAATAAAAATGTTTTTCATTCTTCTGGTTAAATGCAGAAAAAAGTCCAGTATTTGGTAATCCTAAGAAGACATGGGTTCCTACAAGAAAGGATGATGATACAGGGTAATATGTTAAAAAAAAATTGCCTGCTCAAAAAATATTTTCATACCTGTAATCATAGCACTGGGGAGGTGGAGGCAGGAGGGTAAGAAGTTCAGTGACATTCTCAGCTACATAAATAGTTCATGATCATCTTGGGCTATCTGGGTTCCTGCTTTAAAAAAGCAAAAAAGAATAGGAAAATTTTACTTTATTTATCTAATAAATATCAGATATGTTATTTCCCATGTGATATTTCCTTGAAACAAAGCATTTTATATTATAAATTTACTTAATTAAAAGGCTTGCCTTTGGTAGTGCTTTGTGCATGGGGGTGATTCTTGACCACTGTAATGAACCTCATCTTTAATTTTTTAATGTGATTTCTTTACAGAACTGAAGTAAAGAATAAGATGGATAACATTGGAGGTACATTTTTGATGTATTTGTATCTAGAGAAAATTGTTTAAAACTATGTAGTATTAAAATATTATTTTGGAAAAAAATAAAAAAAACTATATAGTGTTAATGTGCTATAGGATTATTAGTTAATACTTTATTCTCAGAGATAGGATTATGAACAGATAATTTTTTACTTAGCTTGAAGATTTTCTTAGTTAACCTTTTCCTTGATAGGAAATGTAAAACTGGTACTTTTATATATGTGTGACATAAATGGCATTATGGGAAGTAAAATGAATGAGAAAAAGGTTTTTTTTATAATTCTTTGGATTCACAGATTTATATATACATGTCTTTATGAATACCAGTGTTTCATTTACACTTTTCTTTAGGGATCCTCCTGAATTCCTTTCTTCCTCCCAACTTCTTTTTCTTTTGAAACAGTATCCCTACTGTAACAAGCACCCAGGACTTAGTAGACCTCCAGACTTTAATAGGCCCCAGACTTTAGCACAACTGGTGCAATGAATGAAACACCATTCAGACCTTAAAAACCCAGAAAGTTAGTACAAATTCCCGCTGTCTTAGTCAGGGTTACTATTGCTGTAATGAAATACCATCACTAAAGTAACTTGAAGAAGAAAGGGTTTATTTGGCTTACACTTTCTCAGCACTGTTCATCATCAAAGGAAATCAGGACAGGAACTCAGAGGCAAGAGCTCATGTAGAGGCCATGGATGCTTACTGGCTTGCTCATCGTGGCTTGCTCCGCATGATTTCTCAGAGAAACTAGGAACATGTACCCAGGGATATGATCTGGGCCCTCCCTCATCAATCACTAATCAAGAAAACAGCCTATAGGCTTACCTACAGCTGGATCTTATGGAGGCATTTTCTTAACGAGGTTACCCCATCTCAGATGAATTTAGATTGTGTCAAGTTGACATAAAACTTAGCAACCCATCTGTCAAAATAGCCACAAAGGCCAAGTCAATGGTTCCAGGATGTGGCTGGGAAAGTTCCTGGAGTGAAAAATCTGTATATGTATTAACCCTGCAGTTTCACTTCTTGTTAGTCAGGATATGACTTTTGCACATAAAGCGCTAAGAACTATAAGGGTTAGGGCTACATCATCTGGCCAAATTCTCCATGCTTGTGCTGACTAGCAAGAAAGACTTTCTATTCAGCTTTAAGCGTGTCTGTGTAGAGGTCCCTGGTGGGCTTACCTTGCAATACTACCTAGTACTGGCTGTCCTGGTTATCACTATGTAGATAAAGCTGGCCTCTAACTCACATATATCCACCTGCCTCTGCCTATCTCATCCTCTTTTATGATTTATATATTTAACACACTGAGTCCAAATATTCCTGCCCATATCACTTTTAACAATAAATTATGTATCAAAAATGAAAGACAATTTTACTGGCCAGTAAATTTTTAAATTCTCTTTTTTGTTTTCTTTTCTTTTTTTTTTTTTTTTTTGAGCTGAGGATTGAACCCAGGACCTTTGCTTGCTAAGCAAGTGCTCTACCACTGAGCTAAATCCCCAACCCTTAAATT